GTTTGTCATTGACTTTTTGCATTTACATTTTTAAAGCCTGCCACGGCTAACGTGCAAGCCTACATTGTCTTCTCCACTGTGTACTTTGCATCTACATGTATATGACAAACTGGCCCTGTCACTCTTATGGTGCTTAAATAATACCTTAATAAGCCACCATTAACCCATTTCTCAATCCTCCAACAGGTAGGATAAAGGATGAAGTTTATTCTTCTTGTCGATAAATCTCCAGAACCAAACAAGGTATTTTCAACATTCTTTTTGAAAGACGTTTGGGAGGAAAAAGTGATACATGTTACAGAAATATTTCTGACATGACATTACCAAAAAAGGGAATGTTTGTTTTGCACATTAGGAAATTTACTTTTGATTATCTTGAAATTTTATGGGAAAATGTTCCAGGTTTTCGGCACTGCAAAACAAAAATACCAGTATGTCATCATGATGCCATAAATTACAATTATATTATCTGTTTTATTAGCATTGTTTAATTTTCTTTCTCTTTCACTAATGATTTTCTTGCTCTATTCCAAGTCAAATTTCTTCAAACTTCACAAGAATAAAGTCCTCCAAGATTAAAAGTACCCCTTACAAGTTACGGTGAAATCATGATAATGTCATCAAGTGATTTTAGAAAGATTCTAAATACTCAACTGACACCACTTTACATTCTACATGTTTCTCTCTATGCTAAACCAAAAGAAAAAGGCTTGAAAAGCTTTAAACAGATCAAAAAACTTGTGCTCTGTAAAAAAATGGAAACTGTAGTTTCCAGTTTTGATAGTGTAATCAACACAGACGCATGAGACAATCTTACCCATCATAGGGATATATGAATGTTTTCTTTTATATATGAGCAAAACTTTTCTTAAGCTGACATACATGTACGTAGACATCATGCTCAATATCACTGTTGTATACATGTACATATACTCCGATTAAGTACTTGAATGGAAAAAAGTGGTTTCCTTGAGGAGGTGAAAATCCACCCCAAAGTGTTAGGTATGAGACATGTTGGATGTGAACTGAGATGTGTCTAAATTGCTACACTGGAGAACAACTTAAATCAACTTAAATTTGTAACGCTGACCATTTCGTCAACTATTTTTTCAAACTTTTATCAGTTTTTGTGTTACACGATGATGGTTGATAGCACAACCTGTACTCCTTCTGCTTTTAGAACTTGTAATGTTTGATTTAATGTACTATAAGCTGAAATTGCAGACTTATTGTAGAAACAAAATCTAAGTTTACTCCTTTGTTTCAGTCAGAAGAGTTTAGAATGAATTACACTTTTTGATTGTTTTTTTACTGTGCAATGTACATGAAATAAATTTCATGATAATCCCGGTTTATTTTTAATGTTTCGGATAATGATTTTTTTTTTGCACTGGCATAACAGGTTCTGTCAAAGTTATTTATTATTATTACTGGTTTATTTCTATCTTGTCTGGTAGCCAAACGGCCTAAATTACACGGTGGATTACAATTAAAACTCACGTAAAGGGAATTAATAAGTGCTTGGCTGGTCTTAACGTGCATTTAGGACTGGCTCAAGAGAATGGATGCGACTAATGCCTTGGCCACATTATCAGCATCCATTCTCCTGAGCTGGTCTTAAATGTTAGTTTAAGACCAGCCAAGCACATACAAAATACCTTTTTAAGTCTCAGGATGTTTAAAACCCTCCAAGAGTCAGGGGGGATCTGCTCCCCTCAAAAGAAGTCAATATATGATCGATTTCCAATGATTTTGTTCTAGAATGTTACTTTCACTGTCTTGAATACCCGTGTCCATTTCATGGTACAGTTCTTGTGCAAACTGTCCAGAAGATCTCCATGTATATGGACTTGGCACGTGCATGGTGCTGCATCGCACGAAGACTCTTAACCAATAGGGATGGAGTAAACTGTCTCGCATCCAGGTGGCAGAGTGTTTTTTTACGCAGCGGACATCACATCTCAGCAGACATTATCAAATGTGAATAGATAGATAAAGTGCGCATTGTTGAAAAGGGAAACTGTCTGAGATATTGATGAATAAAATTTAAAAGCACACAAAATTAAATTAAATGAATTTAAGAAAACGTGATTGATACCATAGGAAAAAGAACCGCCTAAAAAACCAACCAGTTCATTTTGATTTAAACACTCTATTCCCTTTCAAGTGTCTTGCAACCTTGAATTCTTCAAGTGTTTTTATTCACCTGATTGGGGTGGGGGATTTGATTTGATGTAATTTCTAGGTCCTTGCTGATTGCGTTTTGGTCTCATGATGTTTAAAACCCTCCAAGAGTCAAGGGGGATCTGCTCCCCTCAAAATTTTTCCAACATTGTAATGCTGCATTTGTTTTCAATGGCAAGCATTCAGCGGTGTTAATGTTTAACAGTCACTTTAACACAAATTTAATCGATAAGATTTAAAGCTATGCATGGTGGAAGTACTAAGTTAGCTAGATTTGCGGTACACCATGTACAAGAAAAATGCATCTTTTATGAGTGTGTAGTTCTAAGAAGAACCGACTGTGGACACTCGACGTTCTTAACAGTATGCTCCGTTCGTCTTCAGGATCCTTCCACAGCACTCATAATGAAGCCAACAAATCAGAGCCACAAACAACAAGTGGGCATTTGTGTAGAGTAAAAGAAACTCAACATCAGAGTCCAAATTCCACAGAACAATGGATTCAAGATCATTATACATAAGAGCATGAGTGCAAGCTACAGATATTAAATGACCTTTGAAACCAATGTACATGTAGTTGGGACATTACTTGCATTGCGTGTCAAGCTTCTCCTGATGACAATTAGCAGACCTAAGAATAGAAATTTGGCTGGTGGTCCATGCATTATAAGTCAGATTGGAACCTTGTTGCCGTGGTGCCTGGACGAGACGACCAACTTTTGTGTCAGGCTGTTCAACCAGATTTCTGTTCGTCCTCTCAAGGCTCAAAAGGATCTGACATATTGCTTTTCAAGGTAAGAATACCACAAAAAGATGTACAGACACGTCAATGGATTTTCAATTTTTTTTTGTCTGCTAGCTTGTACTGCTGGCTTGTACATGTAATTTCCAAATACATGCTACGGAGATTCATAATCACAATTTTCAATTCTAAAGCTCCCTTAAATGCATCCATTATTTTATGTACACACGTTGTAAACCTTTTTTCTTGCAAGGCAATTCAACAAAACCTTGCTACAGGAATGTTAGTGTGTATGCATATATTTACTGTTAAAATGATTAGTGACTAAGTTCCAAACTGTCCCTGATGCCTGAATGTACTTTCATTGTTTGTACTTCCACAGGTATGGCATCCAATGTCACAGTCCAATCTGTCTTGGGAAAGATTAGCCAGGTTCACCTGGAATGTTCCATCTGCTCCTGTCGTTTCAAGGAGCCTAAACTGCTGGACTGCTTGCACAGTTTCTGCTTGAAATGCCTCCAAGAGCTCAGACACCATCATGACCCAGATAGTACCAAGCTAACATGCCCTCTCTGCAGACGTGACACCCAGCTAAAAGGAAATGGAGTTGCTGCACTGCCTAATCACTTTACACTGGGGGCTCTGGTGGAGGAATTCACCATGCAAGAACAGCTCCTTGAAGGTCAAGGGTTAGAGATCAAATGTCAGAACTGTGAGGAGGGAAATAAAGCCATCTCTAGATGCAGTGACTGTGATAGTTTTTTCTGTCTGGAGTGCAATAAGGCACACAGACGAATGGCTATGCTGAGAGCTCATGAGGTGAACACACTGGCGCAGTTACAATCAGGTGAGATCTCCTTCAAGAGTAAACTCAGAAAGCAGGTTCCAAAATGTGGCAAGCATCCAGACCAGAATGTCAACATTTACTGCAACACTTGTGAGAAGCTGGAATGCACAACTTGTTCTCTTCTTGATCATGCAAAGCACTCTCTCACTGGACAAATGGAGGCCTTTGACGAGTGCAAACGAGAAATCCACGCACTAATGGCAAAAGCTGAACAGAAAACAGCAGAATTTAAGGTGGCAACACAGGCAACTGGAAAGATGCAAAAGACACTGTATGGTATGCTTGCCAGTGTCAACAAGAAAATAGATCAAAAGGTTGACGAAGGGAGGGACAGACTGGAACAGGAAGGGAAGACACTGAAGCAAGAGGCTGAGAGATTCTACAAAGGCAGAGTTAAGAAACTGGAAGCAGCTCATTCATCCAACAGAACTGAAGTGAGCCACACAGAGCAAAAGTTGGATGAGATGAAACAACTCATGGATCAGGCGAGCTGCCACGAGATACTGGATCTGAAGCACAAATTACTGCACAACCTTAAAGAACTGACAGAGAAAACGCCGCACGAAGTACCCCGCGGCCTAACTTTCATCAACTTTGAAAGCAAGGACTTGTTATTCACAATAGGGAGGCTGGTCCAAGTACCAGCAGATGAGAATGACCCAAAACCAGAGTTGAAGGTTCAAACTGTAGATCCATCAAGCCAAGTGCCTTCATGTCTGCCAAACAAGTGTCAAAAAAAAGCAGAAATACACAAATTTGGAAAATATGGGACCAAGTTTGAATCGGCATCTCATGTAGCAGTATTTTCCAACAATGAAGGGGTCATAGTAGATAGGTCGTGTAACAGATTGATCAGTTTCATACCCAAGTCACCTCAATCACCTGCAGTCTCAAAAGAAATTGAGATTTATGGTCTCTATAATCCAAGGTGTGTAGTGGTAACCAAGGACGACAAGCTTATTGTTGTAGCTGGTCAAATCATCAAGACATTTGACAGAGCATATTGTCCCCTCATTCACTTCAAATCTGGTAAGAAGGCTAAAAACTACCCAACATGTCTTGCTGTAAATGACAACAATCAGATAGCAGTGGGTTTTAGCAAGGAGGAAGAGATATTCCTACATAATCTTGACGGAACTCTCATCACAAGATTTTCTGCTCCTGGCATCGGTGATTATTTGACATCCTACAAGCAGCGCCTTATCTACACTGACAGTGACATGCACAAATTAACGTCAGTCAACTACAATGGCAGAGAGGTATTCTCAATTGGTGTTAATGCCACTGGACATGAAAGAGGGAAGAGCACTCTTGAAGGTGTGTGCTGTGATGAAGATGGAAACATCTATGTTGCCATGGAGTTGGTTGATGAATCGGATGAAATTCACCAGTTTAGTCCCGACGGCCAATACATTGGTTGTGTCATCAAGGGATTTGATCATGTGCGCGGTATCGCTCATGCCCCAAATGGTGACCTGGTTGTGGCAGAAGAGACTTCAGTTGTAGTCTGCCGCCATGTCTTACTGTCATAGCTACATGTACACTCTCATCACATTCAATTAGCCTTTTGCGAGTTAACTTTGACCCAAATGTGGTACACTGAGTTCTTTATATTCATGTGAACATAACAACTTGAATTCTCCTTACTAAAACCACTGTTGCTATACCTCGTGATTCTAGGCAAGCTTTTGCCAAGATACATAAGAGACACCTTACATCAATACACTGTTCTCAATGGATACGGAGGGCATAAAGGAACCACTCCATTCCAGAGATGGTGGTCGCTATGCAAAAGCTTGCCCCAAATCACGATGTATAGCAACAGTAGCTTTAGTCTGGGGAAATCAAATTGTTATGTTTATGTGCAGTCAGATAACTCAGTGCACCAGATTTTATTCAATTTAATTCACAAATGGCTTATTAAGTCTATCAAGAGTGACATTGCAAGAACAAACTAAACATGTATAGCAGCTGCATTTAGAAGATATCTCGAGAAATTTTGATGCTTATCCTTTTTACCGATGGGGCCAGCTTCCCGTCTGAGGGGGTGAGGAGTGGTCCCCTCCGCCCCTTTACTCCTTGGCAATGGGTCCGCACCTGCTACTCAAATTGAACTGTGTATCAGATGTCAGGAACTTCTTGCACTACTGGCCCAGTGGCAAAAAAAGGCACCCAGACTGAAGTGCAGATTCTCCAAGCCATGAACTCAGGATAATGATGCCATATCCCAAAACCAATGCCTTGAGATAAGGATGTATCTTGTTCAGGCCAAGGGAAGTGCCACAAACCAACTACATGTAATTTGCCATTCTTCTCCACAGGAGATTGAATACTGTCAAGCGCAAACATGTTTTAGATTAAGGGGAGACTTACTTAGAAGACACAGCTGTTTGTGTTGGAATCCTGAACACCACGAATGATAATTTGTAACATGGCATGTCCTCATGCCAAGATTGGGCTTGCCAGGGTCAGATTTGTGTCTAACTAGTTTGTCTTTACTAGAAAATTGCTTGGTGGACAAAGCTGATGACATTTTATTACCTTTTTTAATGAAAATCTTGGAATGCAATACCCACTGAAAACAAATAAAATTATGCAAAACAAAAGCAAACTATGACACATAAACATCAGTTTATGGATGTGGAAACTCGATATTTAATTATTCAGCGCAAACATTACTGCAGCCCGTCTGCAACTGAAATAAAAAAAGATATATTAAATCTTGAATGGAACTGATTTAACACAAGGGGTGTCACTGCTAGCAAAGAAAAGTATTCTGCCACATCAGTGCATTGGCAATGTATTCTGTGCTTATGCCATGACACATAGCTCACGTGAACTCTTATCTCCATGTATTTATCACTTTATACCTTAGAAAAAAGACTTATTATTCAATAAAAAATTTTAATTTCAAGAAACTTCAAAGATAAAGGGAGTTGTTTTCTTTTTCCCAATCTCTTTCAATCAACCATTCATGGAGATACTAACCTTAAAGGATTAAAAAAGGTAGCATAGGGGAAAATGTAAGAATTCCTCAGCCAAGAAGGTATTTCTGTTTGATTCCCACACCAAAAATTCTTATTCTTTGACAAGTGTGTTGAAGAGAACCAAGCGGGCTACTCTTTAATCAGTTGAACTTGTTGAACTTCCAAAAGTTAGCACAGCCAAATTACCATTAAAGGCAATTTCTTATTGAAACTTATTAATTAATGAAAAATAAGTGCCTTTGCTTGTTGCTCAAACAAGAAACAGTTTTTTGTGTGCATGTTTTTGTTTCATTTATAGATGTCAGAATTCTCCATTAATTAATTCCATATTTTATTCCTATTTTTCCATCAGGTCAATTAATGTCAGACATTTTCTATTTCAGTGTCAGCTCCTGTGCCCAATTTATCAGAACTAAACTTTGGCATGTATTATTCACTTGACTTTCTC